TCAGGATAGGCATAATTTCCTGTTCTCTTGGGCTTTATGGGATAGTATGTGGTAGGGTGACAGGCAAAGCATAAACAAGATTGATCGAGCATAATATGGAATGATTTCATGTTAAAACAGAATTGCTGAGCTCTGTCTCCTTTTTTAGCTCCTTTTCATTCCTCATTGAACACTTTCCCCACAATTTTACTCGAGCTGTCTTCTCTTTTTAACTGTGAATCTCCTTCATATCCATGAAAGATGAACCTGTATTACCCAAACACAGAAAGACTGCTGTAAAAATGAATCAGCATTTGTGTACTATAGATAGTCTGCATAGGCAATCAAATTAGAATTAGAAAGTTGTTTGGGCTCATAATGGTCTAATGTCATTGGTCAAATTGCAGAACCACGATAGCCTCAGGCTTCCATCTCCAGGACTGGCTGTGTGGTTGTGAGGGGCAGATCTTCCTTTCATTTGGGCCTTGCTTAAAGGATACATTCATTGGGGAAACGGCTACTGTAACAAATATGCCCCACATTTTAATGACTGCATAGTAGGTATGTTTCTCACTCATGTAGCAGTTTGGCAGGCTGCAGTCCTCAGCATGGTGATTCATGCACCAGAGCTTCTGTCCTGTCACTCTGCCATCGTCTGTTCAGTGGGCTCATGGGAAAGAGAGTAGAGGAGTGCCACAGGGTACTAGCCCTGCCTGGAAGTAGGGCAGGCCACTGGTGCTCCCATTGCAGCGGTTACAGCTCAGTCACATGACTGCATGTAACTTCAAGGGAGGCTGGAAACTGATTGCTGGTTGGGTAGCCACTTAGTGACTCCTATACCAGGCATAGTAGAGCATGAATTATTGGAGGAGTCTGCTCTAATCCCACCTATCAGCACTGCTACCACTTGCCTCTATGACTTCTTTTTTCTCAGCCCCATGACTAATTCCCATGGTCTTTCTTTAGGCAAATTAATATTCACTTGGGCTATAGTGTAGGTTCACCAGTCCAGTAGCCATCCCTTTCTTTATGGTAATCGAATCTTCTCACATCTTTGCTAAAGAGATCATGTTTTAATCAGTGATTGCCTTATGGTAATCTTATTTCCAAAATATTTTTGGCAGAGGAGGCATCCTCACATATTCGCTGTGGGCTTAGTATGAGCTTTTGCTACTCTAGGTGGTTTGTTTACTAAGGCACTAACAGGACACTGTTAAGAGATCATTACCCCCTCATAGGTGAAACGGCTGGATTCTAAAACAGCATTTTTAGGATGCCTTTAGGGTGGGTTTATGTTTTAAACAGAAATGTTCTATGATCGAAATAATATACACATCCGTCTTAAGTTCTCTCCGACAATGCTTCCTTGCAATTTGTATTATTTAGCTTTCCTTTATTTTTAAGATAGTTTGATAGTTAGTAGGGATAAATGCCACCTTTTGGGATTTTATTAATAGTATTACTTTTTAATGAATCTTTTGAAGTCTTTCATTATAAACAGTCTGCTTTCCCCAGAGATAATAACTTGCTGTGCCAAATATTTGCATTTCACTTGAAACAAAACCAAGGGGTTGAATGTTTTAAATATAAGCAAATCTAATTCTCCTGTGTCTAGGGAAACTGTATAATGAACCATATGTATGTGGCTTAAGCAGACAGATGTGAAAGATTTCTCTCTCCCTCCTTTTATTTAAAAAATAAAATACTGGCAGAGCTCAAAATTGGCACCAAGTAGCAAGTATCTCTGCTCGGCCAACAAAACCGCTGGAGTTGGAGTTGACTGGGGGAGGCCTTTTTAGGGTACACGCAAAAGTGAAGCTTTTCCTGGTCCTCGCTTCTACTTGGAACACTAAGTCTCCACAGCTTATTCACCCTCATTTCTCAGTGCCTTCAGGCTTCACAATGAGCCATTCTTAGGTGACTGACTTTTCAGATCTTTGCCTGAGAAGTTGTGTCGATTGTTGTGGTTGATTGTTGGACTGGTTCAGAAGAGATGAGTCCACGCATCTGGGTCCTGCGGTGAGATGGCCCCTAGCTGCTGACAAAGAGGTGCTGAGCTACATTCCACCTCCAGCATGGGCCTTCCTCTGGTGGTGGCCATATGGCTTCTTTCTCTCCTATTCTTATATCCCTCCCCAGCTCTGGGCAAACTTTACCTCTGGCTGGGGTTGCAGATAGGGCCTTAACTGGTTTTCCTGCCTTTAGTCTTTCCCTGTTCACTCTCCTCACTGAAGTGATCTTTCTGTAACTCAGATCTGATTATTTGATTGCCCCATTTAATACTTATCTATGGCTCCCTATTGTCTTCTAGAAACAGTCTAAACCCCATAAGTTGGTGTACCTGAGCCTTCATGATGACCTGGGTCCTGCTTTTTCTGTCTGCACCATCTTGAGACAACACCACTAACATCCACCCTGTACTGGCAGCCTGTTTTATCTATCCGGAGCCCAAGGGCTTTCAGGAGATGGCCATTTTTCTCTCATGTTTTGGTGTCTTTGCAAATGCTGCTCCTTTTGGCTGCCTTGCTCTGCACATCCTACAGCATTGCTTCTTCAACTTGAGTGTGCTTTGAATCACTGATAGGGCTTGTTAAACCACAGATTGCTGGGCTCCACTCTCAGATTTTCTGACTCACTCAGTGTAATGGGGCCTGGGAGTCTATTTCTAGCGGCCCCCCGGTGATGTTGATAAGGGTGGTATGGTGACCACACTTTGAGTAGCAAAGTTCTAGAGTACCCTGTCTTTCTAAAGCACTTCACCTTGCTGTTTGGAGATTGCCTGTTTACCTTTCTCCCTCACTGGACTCTGGGCTTCTTGGGCAAAAGAATCTGCCCACCAGTGTATTACTATTTACTAGTATCTGGGATATTTCTGACATTCAGTAAGTATCTGCTGCATAAGTCAATGAGCAGGTCACTGTTTATACAGCAAAGTTCAAATCATTTTGTTTCTTGCAGCGGATCAGCTTTCTTTTGGAATATTTCAGCATAATAGTGTGTGGAATGTTATCAGATCCTTCCATATGCCCCTACCTGACTTTGAAATACTAATTTAGTGGATATGGAACTTGAAAACCCCCACGGAGATCAGACCATAGGTGAACTACAGGAAGACAGACAAGGACTTCTTTTGGTAGATCTCCAACTTTAAAATGTGAAAACAGACTCACAGGTTTTCTTTCACAAAGAACATCATAGAGCAGTGTTACTACATCTCTTGCAATACAAGACATACCTCTGAACTTCCTGAAGCCTGTCAACAAGTAGAGCTCATACTACCTTTTAGTATCCATGAAGTATCTGCCAGGGATTGTAGTTAGGATAAAGGAGTATCTGATATGGCTCTTTTCTTTCAGATTGAAACCTGGGTGAGGATGAACACTTTAAATGTTCAAACATGTGATACTTACTATGACTATCATAAAGATTCATACATATGTTTTTGAGACAGGGTCTTGCTCTGATGCTCAGGCTGGAGTGCAGTGGTATGATCATGGCTCACTGCAGCCTTGACTTCCTGGGCTCAGGTGATTCTCCCACCTCAGCCTCCTGAGTAGCTGGGAGTACTAGTGCATTGCCACCATGCCTGTCAATTTTTAAATGTTTTTATTGTTGTTGTTGTTGTAGAAATGGGGTTTTACCATGTTTCCCAGGCTGGTCTCAAACTCCTGGAGTCAAGTGATCTGCCTGTCTTGGCCTCCCAAAGTGCTGGGATTATGGGTGTGAGCCAACACCCCCAGCCAAGATTCATATTTTTTAAAATTCTCAAATCACTTGGTTTATTAAATCAATTTCAAGCATACAGAGAGAAGCAAGGGGAAAGAGATGGGGGATAGGCTAGCATACTTAGTGCAAACCAGTTGAAGGGCAACCCTATGGGTTACACAGTGCTCATATGCCCTCTCCCTTTGTCCTAAGGCCTTTCTAGGTTTAGGGAGTAGGAACTCTCCTTTCCCAGTTAGGTTTTCTTGAAAAGGAAGAAGGGTTGTGGTTTTCATGGGAATCTAAGAAATGAGAGCCAAGGAGTGGCCCACTGGTCTGTAGGGGTGGGAGTTCTTGGCTGTTCATATTTGTTCTGCTGTTAACAGGCCTTGCCCCAGTTGCATTAAGTTTGCTTTACTGTCCACTTATCTTTAGGCTGTCACAGCCTTCCTTGCCCTCCTTCTTTGTGTCCTTTCTCTACCTATGTCCCAGCTTCTGCTGATGCTTGGTTCTGGCACCCTTGTAAGTTTAAGCCCCACCTGCCCTTTCTTTATACCATGGCCCTGCTGAGCATCTGTTTAGGGTCTGCTTTCTCTGCTCATTGGCTTTGATATTTCTCATCCACATTCCCAGGAATGAGCATCTGACCTAAGCCCTTGTCAGAGTATCCCAAAGGACAGTGTACAGTGTGCCCACCCACCCTTACTCCCACTCAGGTGACACCAGGCATGAGTTGGGTATGGTGCCCACACAAGGCTGCCAGGCCCACCTTTGCAGCAGAGCATGGGAACAGGTGGTGCCCTCTGTCATGGCCGTGGGCATGGCAGGTACATTGGAGGATTTGAGCAGGGGAAGAGTGTTCTGGGAAGAAGACACACATCTTAACCCCTGAGGAGTGAGCATGTACAGTCAGAAAGCCTGCTGAAAGAAGGCTGGGGTGTGAGGCTTGTGAAGGCCAGGTGCAGGAGTGGACGTTTTGTTAGGCAGCAGGTCATCTCTGTAGGCTTTTAAGCAGAGGAGTTAATCACCCCCTTCTGTTCATTCCTGATTTCTGTTGTCAGAGTAGACTTGAGACCTGCTAAGAGGCCACTAATGCCACACTGAGGTAATGTGGGAGAGGAACTAGAAAGCAGATGGCTATGGCACTGGAGAAAGAGGCACACATGGGTTGACAGGGACAGCTACATGGCAGCTTCATGAGCAGGAGGGAAGGGGCATGTTCTAGGGGAACAGCAGCTTCCATGTCAGACCTGGGAATGCAGCAGACCCAACATCCAGCTTGGAGATTTCTTCTCTTTTTCTATTTCTTTTTTCAATGGCACTGTATTTTCCTAAAATGTTGCAGATCAGTTATAGCAAATGGAATGGTGATGGTCAAGGAAACTGACTCTGGGCTCCTTTTTGACTACAGCAGCTAAGTGGAAGCAGCTGCAGCTGCAATAAGGGCCACTCAGCATGAAGATTTCTGTGTCTTCATTCACTTGGAAGTGGTGGGGCAGAGCTTCCAATCCACGTCCTACCTTCTTCACAAACCATCTTTGCCACCAAATTGTTGACTCATAGGTCTGTTCGTCTCTCTTCCCCGTGCCTAGGTTTTAGGTTCCTTTGCTCCAGCTATTTCTATCAGTGCTGATCTGGAAGGCAGCGATCCTATGAGTTCTCCACATTATGTCATGGCTAGTAATCCAATCCAATTCAAGCTGACATCCCTCACCCTATATTCTACCAACAGAACCTAGTCAGACATCTGGACTCATTCAGGAAGTGCTGCTAGGGCATGGCTTTGAAATTTGGTGGGAGCATTTTGGAAGGTTGTGTGGTCTGTTTTGTTGTTTGGTGGTCAGACTGGATTTTGATCTTTTTTGCTTTCTTTCTTTACACACACACACACACACACACACACATATGTGTGTGTGTATATATATTTTGAGATGGAGTTTCACCCTCGTTGCCCAGGAGGGAGTGCAATGGCACGATCTCAGCTCACTGCAATCTCTGCCTCCCAGGTTCAAGTGATTCTCCTGCCTCAGCCTCTCAGGTAGCTGGGATTACAGGTACCTGCCACCATGCCTGGCTAATTTTTTGTATTTTTTTTTTTTTTTAGTAGAGATGGGGTTTCACCGTGTTGGCCAGAACTCCTGACCTCAGGTGATCCACCCTCCTTGGCCTCCCAAAGTTCTGGGATTAGAGGCATGAGCCATGGCTGCGGGCCTGTGTAATTTTATAAGAAGAAGAGGCTTTTGAAAAAAAATTAAGATAGATGCAATCCAGTTAAAAAAATCCTGATATGCAAGATCCTGCCTTTGAACAAGAGATTTAAAAAAGGAGGGTCATTATTTGCTGCCTGCAAGAGTTCACTAATGGATGTGGGTAAGTTCCTTGAGCTTGAAAAAAAGATAATAATTAACACCCACTTAGATCTCTAAAGTCTTGAGGTGCTCAAGCAAGTAGGAGTGTGTGAAATGCTTGTAAATTTCAAAGTACTCTATGAATTTAAGGTATTAACTAATGGATAATGACTTCTTGAAATTTAAGAATGGTTTGATTTACATTTAGTAGAAACTCATCTAGTATGAAAATGATATATATATTACAAATGACTAACAACCCTACCGTTCTCAACCTCTTTATGTAACCTTCCTTCTGACCAAAGGACCCAGATGACTTTGAGGAATAGCCTGTTTGCTGGATATATTCTCACTTAGCACTTCTGGAAATATCCATTCTATAGGTAGTATTTCATCTCATTGTCCTGGTCTTCCCAAAGCACCCTTAATCCAAGGTGTGAGATGGCAAAGTAATACATATTTTACTTCAGAGATGACACCTTAAGGTTCTATCATAGCTCAACATTTTCTAGTTTCCTTTCTTCTCTGAACATTGTCCCAGGGAGACATGTGTTCCTGGAAAGAATTAATTCCTGGAATGGTGTGTGTGTGTGGGTATGGGGAAGGGGAGGAGATGTCTGCTGTCTTTTCTAGGGTTACTGGGTGGAATTTCCTCACAATGATTAATTCCCTCCTTGACAGTGTGTTCAGAAGCAGGCACCTTGATGGTTCTTTAGCAGCAATACCCCTCCCTTCTTTCCTAGCCTTCCTTTGTCATTAAGCCTCATCCTTCTTCTTCTTCTTCTTCTTCTTCTTTTTTTTGAGGTGGAATCTCACTCTATTTGCCCAGGCTGGAGTGCGGTGGCATGATTTTGGCTCACTGCAACCTCTGCCTCCCACGTTCAAGTGATTCTCCTGCCTCAGCCTCCTGAGTAGCTGGGATTACAGGCATGCGCCACCATGCCCGGCTAATTTTTGTATTTTTAGTAGAGACGGGGTTTCACCATGTTGGCCAGGTTGGTCTTGAACTCCTCACCTCGTGATCCACCCACCTTGGCCTCCCAAAGTGCTGGAATTACAAGTGTGAGCCACTGTGCCCAGCCAAGCCTGTCTTCCTGTGTTCACCCACCTCTTGGTCCCATGAAGGTGGTCCTTGGCAAGTAGCACTTTCAACATTTTTCTTAGTCCCGCAATGCCTACCATAGCTTTGTTTTCTCCTGCGCTACTTCTCTGGGTTTCTAGGCTCTTAAATCCTCAAATTTGACTTGCGTGCCCTCTAGTGGCAGGTCTGATGCACTCCTTGTTACCCTGTTTATTGTGGTACCATGACAGCTGTTCTCACCACCCAGCTCTGTTACTAAATATTATCTCTAATTCACAAATGCCAAATGAGAGGTTCAGTGGTCCTGACTTGCCACTCAAGTAGGACCTGGAAATGTGGGATTTGAATTAGAGCTCTTGATTCCTGGATTTATACAGTCTTTCAAGTATAACTGCAACAGTAAAAAAGATATGGTTATAGCTGTTCTAGTTTCTTTTTCATGGTTTAAAAAGAATTCAGATTATTTTATTATCCACTCAGCTAATATGAAAGGACAAAAATGTGAGGAATAGTGGAAGATAAGAATGATCATATTTTTTTAACCCTTCCTTCATTATAATTAGAATTTTTTTTGTCACTTACTGAGTATTCAGTATTTCATGCCTCAGTCCTGTTAACTTTGAGGAATACAGAAAATATATAAAGCATGATATCTGCCTTTAAATTTATGTTCTAGTTAGATTCTAGTTATGAGGCAGTTACATTTCTTCAACTGAGGAAAAAAATTAAGCATAACACACAATAACTTTTATTGGTGTTTAATTTTTTTACTTCATCTCACTAAAGACAGGTTCTCTGAGCATTGACTTTTTAATTTATTCTTAAAGTCCTTTTCAGTGGAGAGAGAACTACAGGATAACAGCAGTTACCTCGATGAACCCTGGAGGATAACAGAAGAACAGCGCGAGTACTATGTCAATCAGTTTCGATCCCTGCAGCCAGACCCAAGCTCTTTCATTTCAGGTAAAAATGTGGGCTCCCCAGGCATCGCTCTCACTGGAAACCACAGCCACCATCTTGAGAAATCATTCATGCAAAATGGATATGGCAGCCTTCCATGATTTCAGTTTGTTTTCCTCTAAGGTCCAAGTTCTTATCAGATGTAAACCATGCAGAAAAAAAGTTGCCAATGACATTTGGAAAATTATGTTTCCACTTCAAAGGGCTTAAATGGGAATTTGGGGGGAACCTGGCCCAGACCTGCACCTTATCAGCTCAGGCAGCTCTCGAAACGGCACAGTTTTGTGCCAAGGGGCCGCCTCTTGTTGCTTCCTCGTTATTATTAGAGCTCAAGCAAGGACAGAATATGGCCTCCTAATGAGTTGGTGTCGCAGGTCTTTTTATGTTATTTGTGCCTTCAAACTTTAAACTCAGGCTCGTTTTCTTTGGCTCAAGTGTTTCTCCTCCGGCTTTTTTTGAGAGAAACTAAAATGGGGAAGAAAATTGGCCCGTGCTTTCCCACTTGTCAGTTGTTCTGGGTTGTCTTCAGATATATAGATTCCTGTTGAGTTCTCATGTAAAATTCAAGCTGAGAGGAACTTGATTTAATGCCAGTGTGGCTACATTTTACCAGGCTGAAGGACTAAACTAACAGTGAAATAGTAGAATCTGGAAGAAAAATTCATAAACCTTTCTTTTTAGATTTTAAAATTTGAAGAATAACAGTATGTCCTTAATAATTGTAACCTGCCATATTGAAATGTGGGCTAAGATTTTTTAATCTTGTGAAATGAGGCACATAATTAAAATATACTTATATAAATAATTGCAAACATCGTTTACTGATAGGTGGTAATGGCTTTATTGATGGCAGAATAGTACAGATACAACAAATTAATGTTGATGTCATGATTAAGGAAAAATAAGCAGAAACTCATATTGCATGATTTGACCACTTGCTAATCTTACCCTGTGTTCAGGTGAGTTTCTTCATGACATATGCAGGTATTTAGCCAAATGCAAACAGGTAATTGTTAGAAATGTTTTTTTTAACTTTTGTATCTTGCAGAATTTCAAATGTAGACACAACTAGACTAGCTGGTGTAACAAACGTCTGTGTACCTATTACATAGCCCCAGTGATTTTCTCTTACCTACAGTTACCACATAAAGATATTTCAGTCAGTCAATGATGGCAGTTCCATAACAGTATCATGGAGCTGAAAAACTCCATTCATCACTTAGTGATGCTGTAGCCATCATGATGTTGTAGCACAAGGCAGTGCTCGCATTTTTGTGATGATGCTGATATAAACAAATCTGTGCTGCCAGTCGTATAAAAGCCAAGCACATGTGATTATGTACAGTATATAATAACACTAAATAACCCTTACTAGCTTATCATGTATTATGCTATACTTTTATTGTTACTTTGTAGTATACTCTTATTTATATTAAAAAAGTTAACTGTAAAATAGCCTCAGGCAGGAACTTTGGGAGGAACTCCAGAAGAAGGCATTGTCATCATAGGAGACAACAGCTCCCTGCGTGTTATTGTCCCCTTCTAGTCACCTCTATGGTGTGGAGACGGAAGACTGTTATTGATGATCCTGACCTTGTGAGAGCCTAAGCTGATAAATGTTTGTATTTCAGTTTTTAACAAAAAAGTTTAAAAGTTAAAAAAATTAAAACATTAAAAAATAGAAGTAATAGAATAAAGATATAAAGAAAGAAAAATTTTTATATAGCTGTACAATTTTTTTTAATTTTTAAATTTTTGTGGGTACATAGGTGTATATATTTTTGGGGTACATGAGATGTTCTGATACAGGCACACAATGTGAAATAAGCACATCATGAAGAATGGGGCATCCATTTCCTCAAGCATTTATCTATTAAGTTGCACACAATTCAACTACACTCTTTAAATTATTTTAAAATTGTACAACATGTTTTTGTTGTAAGCCAAGTGTTATTACAAAGGAGTCAAGAAGGTTAAAATAAATTTTAAAGTTTCTAAAGTGAAAATCTTACAGTAACCTAAGGTTAATTTATTATTGAAGAGAGGAATTTTTTTTTCTGTAAATTTAGTGTACCTGAGTGTGGAGTATTTACGAAGTCTACAGTAGTGTAGAGTAATGTCCTAGGCCTTCACATTCACTCACCACTCACTCTGTGACTTACCCAGAGAAACTTCCAATCCTGCAAGCTCCATTTATGGTAAGGACCTTATAGAGGTGAACCATTTTTCATCTTTTATACCATATTTTCACTCTATGTTTTCTATGGCCTGCCTGCCTGCCTGCCTGCCTGCCTTTTTTCTCCTTCCTTCCCTCCCTCCCTCCTTCCCTCCCTCCTTCCTTTTTTTTTTGAGATAGGGTCTCACTCTGTTGCCTAGGCTAGAATGCAGTGGTGTGATCTTGGCTGACTGCAGCCTTGACCTCCTGGGCTCAAGAGATCCTTCCACCTTAGCCTCCCCAGTAACTGGGACTACATGCACATCTCACTATGCCCGGCTAATTTTTTTGTAGAGAGGAGGTCACATTGTATTGCCCAGGCTGTTTTCTATATTTAGTTGTGTTTAGATACACAAATAATTACTATTGTGTTCCAACTGCCTATAGTATTCAGTACAGGAACATGCTGCTGTACAGGTTTGTAGCCTAGGAGCAATAGGTTCTACCATCTAGCCTAGGCGTATAGCAGGCTGTACCATCTAGGTTTGTGTAAGTACACTCTCTGTTGTTTGCATGATGAGGAAGTTGCCTAATGATGCATTTCTCAGAATGTATCCCTTTTCCTATAAATGGAATCTCATATGGTCTTTTGTGTCTCATCTCTTTCAATTAACATAATGTTTTAGTTTTTTTTAAATTATAACATTTTTGTGGGTACATAGTAGGTGTGTATATTTATGGGGGTACGTGACATGTTTTGATATAGGCATGATGCATAATAATCACATCATGGTGAATGGGATATCCATCCCCCCAAGCATTCATTTTTTGAGTTACCAACAATCCAATTACATTCTTTAAGTTATTTAAAATATACAATTAAGTTATTATTGACTATAGTCACCCTACTGTACTATCAAATAGGTCTTATTCATTCTTTCTAACTATATTTTTGTACCCATTAACCATCCCCACCTCAGCCCTACTGTCTCCGTGCCACTACCTCTCAGAGCCTCTGGTAACCTTCCTTCTACTCTCTATGTCCATGAGTTGAATTGTTTTGATTTTTAGATCCCACAAATAAGGGAGAACATGTGATGTCTTTCTGTGATTGGCTTATTTCATGTAGCATAATGATCTCCATTTCCATCCAATGTTGTTGCAAATGATTGGATCTCATTTTCTTATGGCTGAATAGTACTCCATTGTGTATAGGTACCACATTTTCTTTATTTATCTGTTGATGGACACGTAGGTTGCTTCCAAATCTCAGGTATTGTAAACAGTGCTGTAACAAACGTAGGAGTGCAGATGTTTCTTTGATATACTGATGTCCTTTCTTTTAGATATATACCCAGCAGTGGGATTGCTGGGTCATATGGTTGCTCTAATTGTAGTTTTCTGAGGAACCTCCAAACTGTTCTCCATAGTGGTTGTACTAATTTATGTTCCCACCAACAGTTAGCATAATGTTTTAAAGACTCATTCATGTTGTATGTACCAGAACTTCATTCCTTTTTATGGCTGAATAATTCCATTATATCAGTATATCCCATTTTATTTATCTATTCATCAGTTGATAGGCATATGGGGTTCTTCCACTTTTGGAGTCTTAAGAATAACACTTATTTAAATATTTGTGTACCAGTTTTTATGTGAACATATATTTTTATTTCTCTTGAATACATACCTGGGAGTGGAATTGCTATATCAAACTGTATTGGGAGCTGAAAGTATTCAAATTCAATCTCAGTAAGGTCTAACATTTCAAGTACAGCTGAGTCTTGCAATTATATAACATGTAAAGTGGAATGATTGCCTGATTTCAATGGATACAGGTAAATCAACAATGAAGAAAGAAAGATTCTTGGATAAGTTTCTCAAAAAGCAATTAGGAGTTCTTAAATCTCACCAAAAATTATTTCCCAAGATGTCTGTCTTATCTCTGTTTGGTGGGATCATGGTATTAGTTTTCTTCTTTTTGGTCAGTTTTCTTTTACTTTTCTATTTGAAATTTCTATTTGAAATCTGCCAAATTTGCTCAAGGTATTGAAATTTGTCTTTTTAACTTTTGGTAAAATTTTGGGGGTTTTGATAAAAATGAAGCAGAAATTAATTTATATGACTTGCATCTGTCATGAGCATTATGTTATTGCTTTTTTTGCCCTATTATAATTTACATATTTTTTAAAAAGCTATTCATGTGTTGCTTTTAGTCGCATGATTCATAATTGCTTTGAGGAATAAATATGTTTGTGGTTATATAGAAGAGATTGCTGAAAATTGTGATTTATTTGTATATAAATGTAAAAGCTACTCTAGCTGAGTAATTAATGGTTTATTTAAACAATGGCACTTGACAGGTTCTGTGGCCAAGAACTTCTTCACCAAATCAAAGCTTTCCATTCCAGAACTCTCCTATATATGGTAAGTACAATTAATGCCATGTGACATTCATACCATCATACATAACCCATCCTTCAGTTCCTACCTTTGCATTTTAAAAAGTCTTATCTTTTGAATGATGTTTTAAACAGACTACAAGAGTGAATACAACTCAGATTTTTGTTACTGTGAAAATTATCATATGAAAAGTACAATGAACAGTATCTGGCACATACTAAGCACTATAAGTGTTAACTATTACTTTAGAATAATTTCCTAATTATTATCCCCATCTCAATCCCTTTTGAGTCTAGGCAATTGTGGGCACATGAGAGTTATCATCTTGTAGATTTCATTTTCAGACTGTTTTGCTATATGTGATAAAGTAACCAGAGGACCTTGACAAGCTATATGTTTTATATTTTATGAGGCCAAGTGAACAGAAGGTTGAGGAATATTTTGGAGTTAGGTTAGGTTTGACTATTCTAGCTGCCTCTGAGCTTTGTAAATTTGGCTGGTGTTTATCGGCTGGGCCCTAATTCAAACTTGCAGCTGTGGTATCCACTGTACCTTTATGTGCTCTGGTTCCAGAAGGGCTATGCTGGGATGGTCCAGATGGCTGTATTTGCATTCATGAAAATGCTTGGTGCTGCTGTAAACTCTCGGCGTATGTGGGCTAGTTCTTCCCCCAAACTGGGCAGGAGATCACACTGCTATTTAAAAACATTGGAATGTTTATATAAAGCTTTTTGCATGAGGATTTATAAAATTATGATAGGATTTAAAATTGCTTGTCATGTTTTGTGCATCTTATTGGAAAACTACTCCAATGATACTCATGCATACCAATGTATCTGGGATTCTGAGCTGGATTTAGGTTCTTCAGCAATATATACTCTGGCATAATATTTTGTTTTTACAAGCCTTATATTAGGTCTTTTTTTTTTTTTTGGTGATGAGGGCTCACTCTGTCACCTAGACTGGAGTGCAATGACACAATTATAGCTCATTGCAGCCTCTGACTCCTAAGCTCAAGCAATCCTCCTACCTCAGCCTCCAAGCTAACTTTTTTTACGTGTCAATTATTTGATTTTCTTTACATCTCAATTATTTCATTTTTTTTACATGTCAATTATTTGATTTTTTTTTAAATTTTTTATTGGATTTTAGGTTTTGGGGTACATGAGCAGAGCATGCAAGACAGTTGCGTAGGTACACACATGGCAGTGTGCTTTGCTTTTCTTCTCCCCTTCACCCACATTTGGCATTTCTCCCCAGGCTATCCCTCCCCACCTCCCCCTCCCACTGGCCCTCCCCTTTTCCCCCCAATAGACCCCAGTGTTTAGTACTTTCCTTTCCGTGTCCCTGTGTTCTCATTTTTCCTCACCCACCTATGAGTGAGAATATGCGGTGTTTCATTTTCTGTTCTTGTGTCAGTTTGCTGAGGATGACGTTCTCCAGATTCATCCATGTCCCTACAAACGACACAAACTCATCATTTCTGATTGCTGCATAATATTCCATGGTGTATATGTGCCACATTTTTCCAATCCAGTCTATTATCCATTGGCATTTCGGTTGATTCCAGGTCTTTGCTATTGTAAACAGTGCTGCAACGAACATTCGTGTACATGTGTCCTTATAGTAGAACGATTTATAGTCTTTTGGATATATACCCAGTAATGGGATTGCTGGGTCAAATGGAATTTCTATTTCTAAGGCCTTGAGGAATCGCCACACTGTCTTCCACAATGGTTGAACTAATTTACATTCCCACCAACAGTGTAAAAGTGTTCCTATTTCTCCACATCCTCTCCAGCATCTGTTGTCTCCAGATTTTTTAATGATCGCCATTCTAACTGGCGTGAGATGGTATCTCAATGTGGTTTTGATTTGCATCTCTCTGATGACCAGTGACGATGAGCATTTTTTCATATGATTGTTGGCCTCATATATGTCTTCTTTCGTAAAGTATCTGTTCATATCCTTTGCCCACTTTTGAATGGGCTTGTTTGTTTTTTTCCTGTAAATCTGTTTGAGTTCTTTGTAAATTCTGGATATCAGCCCTTTGTCAGATGGGTAGACTGCGAAAATTTTTTCCCATTCTGTTGGTTGCCGATCCACTCTAGTGACTGTTTCTTTTGCTGTGCAGAAGCTGTGGAGTTTGATTAGGTCCCATTTGTCTATTTTGGCTTTTGTTGCCAATGCTTTTGGTGTTTTGTTCATGAAGTCCTTGCCTACTCCTATGTCCTGGATAGTTTTGCCTAGATTTCCTTCTAGGTTTTTATGGTGCCAGGTCTTATGTTTAAGTCTTTAATCCATCTGGAGTTAATTTTAGTGTAAGGTGTCAGGAAGGGGTCCAGTTTCTGCTTTCTGCACATGGCTAGCCAGTTTTCCCAACACCATTTGTTGAACATGGAATCCTTGCCCCATTGCTTGTTTTTGTCAGGTTTATCAAAGATTGTATAGTTGTATGTATGTTGTGTTGCCTCCGGTGCTCTGTTTTGTTCCATTGGTCTATATCTCTGTTTTGGTACCAGTACCATGCTGTTTTGATTACTGTAGCCTTGTAGTATAGTTTGAAATCCGGTAGTGTGATGCCCCCCGCTGTGTTCTTTTTGCTTAGAATTGACTTGGCTATGCGGGCTCTCTTTTGGTTCCATATGAAGTTCATGGTGGTTTTTTCCAGTTCTGTGAAGAAAGTCAATGGTAGCTTGATGGGGATAGCGTTGATTCTGTAAATTACTTTGGGCAGTATAGCCATTTTCACGATATTAATTCTTCCTAACCATGAACATGGAATGTTTCTCCATCTGTTTGTGTCCTCTCTGATTTCGTTGAGCAGTGGTTTGTAGTTTTCCTTGAAGAGGTCTCTTACGTTCCTTGTGAGTTGTATTCCAAGGTATTTTATTCTTTTTGTAGCAATTGCGAATGGCAGTTCGCTCTTGATTTGGCTTTCTTTAAGTCTGTTATTGGTGTAGACGAATGCTTGTGATTTTTGCACATTGATTTTATATCCTGAGACTTTGCTGAAGTTGCTTATCAGTTTAATTATTTGATTTTTAAAAAATTTATTGTACTTTAGGTTCTGGGGTACACATGCAGATCATGCAGAATTGTTGCATAGGTACACACATGGCAATGTGGTTTGCTGCCTCCATCTTCCCGTCACCTACGTCTGGCATTTCTCCCCATGTTATCCCTCCCTGACCTCACCACCCTCTGCTGTCCCTTCCTTGGCCCCCTGCAACAGACCCCAGTGTGTGATGCCCCTCTCTCTGTGTCCATCCATTTTCATTGTTCAACACCTGCCTATGAGTGAGAACATGCAGTGTTTGATTTTCTGTTCCTGTGTTAGTTTGCTGAGAGTGATGGTTTCCATATTCATCCATGTCCCTACAAAGGACACAAACTCATCGTTTTTTATGGCTGCATAGTATTCCATGGTGTATATGTGCCACATTTTCCTTGTCCAGTTCATCGTCGATGGGCATTTGGGTTGGTTCCAAGTCTTTGGTATTGTAAACGGTGCTGCTGTGAACATATGTATGCATGAGTCTTTATAATAGAATGATTTATAATCCTTTGGGTATATACCCAGTAATGGGATTGCTGGGTCAAATGGAATTTCTATTTCTAGGTCCTTGAGGAAGCGCCACACTGTCTTCCACAATGGTTGAACTAATTTACACTTCCACCAAGAGTGTAAAAGTGTTTCTATTTCTCCACATCCTCTCCAGCATCTGTTGTCTCCAGATTTTTTAATGATCGCCATTCTAACTGGCATGAGATGGTATCTCAATGCAGTTTTGATTTGCATTTCTCTAATGACCAGTGATGATGAGCATGTTTTCATATGTTTGTTGGCCTTATATGTGTCTTCTTTTGAAAAGTGTCTGTTCATATCCTTCACCCACTTTTGAGTGGGTTTATTTTTTTCTTGTAAATCTGGTTTAGTTCTTTGTTGATTCTGCATATTAGCCCTTTGTCAGATGGGTAGATTGCAAAAAATTTTTTCCCATTCTGTTGGTTGCTGGTTCACTCTAATGATTGTTTCTTTTGCTGTGCAGAAACTCTGGAGTTTGATTAGGTCCCATTTGTCTATTTTGGCTTTTGCTGCCAATGCTTTTGGTGTTTTAGTCATGAAGTCCTTGCCTATGCCTATGTCCTGAATGGTTTCGCCTAGGTTTTCTTCTAGGGTTTTTTTATGGTGTTAGGTCTCATGTTTAAGTCTTTAATCCATCTGGAGTTAATTTTAGTGTAAGGTGTCAGGAAGGGGTCCAGTTTCTGCTTTCTGCACACAGCTAGCCAGTTTTCCCAACACCATTTATTAGACAGGGAATCCTTTCCCCATTGCTTGTTTTTGTCATGTTTTTCAAGGATCAGAGGGTTGCAGATGTGTGGCATTGCCTCCGAGGCCACTGTTCTGTTCCATTGGTCTCTATCTCTGTTTTGGTACCAGTACCATGCTGTTTTGATTACTGTAGCTTTGTAGTATAGTTTGAAAGCAGGTAGTGTGATGCCCCCAGCTTTGTTCTTTTTGCTTAGGATTGCCTTGGCTATGCGGGCTCTCTTTTAGTTTCATATGAAGTTTAAGGTGTTTTTTTTTTCCAGTTCTGTGAAGAAGGTCATTGGTAGCTTGACGGGGATAGCATTGAATCTATAAATTACTTTGGGCAGTATGGCCATTTTCATGATATTGATTCTTCCTAACCATGAGCATGGAATGTTTCTCCATTCGTTTGTGTCCTCTCTTATTTCCTTGAACAGTGTTTGTAGTTCTCCTTGAAGAGGTCCTTTACATCCTTTGTTAGTTGTATTCTTAGGTATTTTATTCTCTTTGTAGCAATTGTGAATGGGAGTTTGTTCATGATTTGGCTCTCTGTTAGTCTGCTATTGGTGTGTAGAAATGCTTGTGATTTCTGCACATTGATTTTGTATCCTGAGACTTTGTTGAAGTTGCTTCTCAGCTTAAGGATGTTTTGGGCCGAGATGATAGGGTCTTCTAAATATACAATCATGTCATCTGTAAATAGATACAGTTTGACTCCTCTTTTCCTAATTGAGTATCTCCCCCCTTTTTTTCCTTGCCTAATTGCTCTGGCTAGACCTTCCAATACTGCATTGAATAGGAGTGGTGAGAGAGGGCATCCTTGTCTACTGCCGGATTTCAAAGGGAATGCTTCCAGTTTTTGCCCATTCAGTATGATATTGGCTGTGGGTTTGTCATAAATAGCTTTTATTATTTTGAGATACATTCCATCGATACCTAGTTTATTGATAGTTTTTAGCATAAAGGGCTCTTGAATTTTGTCAAAGGCCTTCTTGCATCTATTGAGATAATCATGTGGTTTTTGTCTTTGGTTCTGTTTATGTGGTGAATAACATTTATAGACTTGCGTATGTTGAACCAGCCTTGCGTCCCCGGGATGAAGCCTATTTGATTGTGGTGGATAAGCTTTTTGATGTTCTGTTGCAATCAGTTTGACAGTATTTTATTGAAGATTTTTACATCTGTGCTCATCATGGATATTGGCCTGAAGTTTTCTTTTTTTGTTGAGTCTCTGCCGGGTTTTGGTATCAGGATAATGTTGGTCTCATAAAATGATTTGGGAAGGATTCCCTCTTTTTGGATTGTTTAGAATAGTTTCAGAAGGAGTGGTACCAGCTCCTCTTTGTGTGTCTGGTAGAATTCGGCTGTGAACCCATCTTGACCTGGGGTTTTTTTGGTTGGTAGGCTCTTAATTGCTGTCTCAACCTCATCCCTTGTCTATTCAGGGTTTTGACTTCTTCCTGGTTTAGGCTTGGGAGGGTGCAGATGTCCAGGAATTTATCCATTTCTTCCAGGTTTACTAGTTTATGTGTATAGAGCTGTTTGTAATAATCTCTGATTGTAGTTTGTATTTCTGTGGAATCAGTGGTGATATCCCCTTTATTGTTTTTTATTGCATCTCCTTGATTCTTCTCTCTTTTCTTTTTTATTAATCTGGCTAGTGGTCTGTCTATTTTGTTGGTCTTTAAAAAAAACCAGCTCCTAGATTTATTGATTTTTTTTGAAGGGTTTTTTGTGTCTCTGTCTCCTTCAGATCTGCTCTGATCTTAGTTATTTCTTGTCTTCTGCTACCTTTTCAGTTGCTTTTGGTCTTGCTCCTCTAGCTCTTTCAATTTTGATGATAGGGTGTCGATTTTAGATCTCTTCTTGCTTCTCATGTGGGGATTTATTGCTATATGTTTTCCTCTAGACACTGCTTTAAATGTGTCCCAGTGATTCTGGTACGTTCTGTCTTCGTTCTTGTTGGTTTCGAAGAACATCTTTATTTCTGCCTTCATTTCATTGTTTATCCAGTCAACATTCAAGAGCCAGTTGTTCAGTTTCCATGAAGTTGTGCAGTTCTGAGTTAATTTTTGAATTCTGAGTTCTAATTGGATTGCACTATGGTCTGAGAGACTTTTATGATTTCCATTCTTTTGCATTTGCTGAGGAGTGACTTACTTCCAATTATGTGGTCAGTTTTAGAGTAGATATGATGTGGTGCTGAGAAGAATGTATATTCTGTGGATTTTGGGTGGAGAGTTCTCTATATGTTTCTTAGGTTCCCAGCTAACTTTTCAGTTTTTTTTCTAGAGAGAGGAACTTGCTATGTTGACCAGGCTGGTCTTGAACTCCTTGCCTCAAGTGATCCTCCCACCTTGTGAAAACGCTGGGATTACAGGCATGAGCCACCATGCTAAGCCCTTATATTAGCTTTTCCTGCTAGAAAAAAAAAAAAAAAAGAAATGATCATTTTGAAAAGAATACCATTTATTTTGGCAGAATTCCCGGTCTAAACATTATTGGCATGAGGCCTCCTATCTTTTTGTTGAGACACAGCATGAAAGCTGAATGGCATTCTCTCTATCCAGCATTTGAAGCAGTTTCCTGACCCCTCACTCTGTGGAACAGCTATTTCAGAGCCCCAGTGCATTCGAAATTGAAGGAGGAGGTTATGGAGTTCACCTTAGAGATATATTTTCTTTCAGATAATAATATCTTTATAGAATAATTTTGTATGTGTCTTATCCCTGTTCTAACACAAGTGTGCTTGTCCCTGTCCACCTAAGAAATGGTTAAGCTTATGGGTCTTAGTTATAATACTTTGGCAAATAAGTTTCTTTTGTGCTGAGTAAATAGGTCTGTGCCTTTTAGTGGGAAATAATGACTAGAGTGAAGCTAAGCCTGTTTAAGACTCCCCTTTCTTCCTTTTTGTCTTATCTGGTTACAGTCTTCTTTAGTTACTAGTTTTATCCTAAAACATAATTCATTCCATTTTTTGTTGAGCTTACTTGTATTTTCCTAGGAGAGAGTTCACAAGCAAAGAACAGTTTGGTACAAAAATTTACGTAACTTGAAAATTCCAAGGTTTTCCCTTAAAGCTGAAAGACAAAGAGCTTATTTCTGTGCTTTGGGTAAACAGCTTAACGGCTGGGACATCTGTAAAATGGCTGTGGCCACCCTTCCTCTGCCTGTTTTGAACACCATGTCCAGGGCTTTTCACCTTATGCAGCCTGCATTTACTCAATGCCCGTGGACATCTGGGTGTCACTTTTCTTTCTGTGCCATAGTTTCTTGTACCATGTCCTCCGTGTTGTTAAACAGACCAATTAGGGAACCTGAATAATTTAAATTTTTATTTATAAAATGCTACAGATGCTGATCCCATCAATCAGCACTTTGTTTCCTCAGAGTGGCCCCCAGAGATTTCAAATGGTTTAGGCTAGGAGGGTTTGGGTATCTGGTAGGGCCATCACCAGAGAGTCTGGGAGTTTTATTGGCATGTTTGGGCCAAGTAACTTTTTCTGTAAGCACCATGTTAGGTACTCATGACATTTGTTACATTTAGGGAACTTAGTGATGCTGACTGCGATGGAGCCCTGACCCTGTCTGAGTTCTGTGCTGCGTTTCATCTCATTGTGGCTCGGAAGAACGGCTATCCGTTACCTGAGGGCCTGCCTCCAACTCTGCAGCCAGAGTACCTGCAGGCAGGTAAGGCCTCACCATAAATCGTAAACCTTAAGTACTTTTCCTCCAGGCCGTGTAAAAAACTTTCGTTTCTTAAAATGATGTCCAGATACTTTTGGGAGTCCTTGGTATTCATAGTTATTTTTTCTAACCGATATTAGACTTTCGCATCTCATAATGTGAGGAATAGGGCTGATCTCAGTAAGTGTGAATTATCTGTTTTTCTCATTCTATACCATCTAGATGGATTTGAACCAAAGTTAGTTACTCTTTCATGACAGTTGTGAAATAGGCAAGTACTGAACTTCCCAGCTAGTATAAAATGAAGAGGAAGATCTTGTAGAGCCAACTGTTAACTTGGCATCTTTAGGCACATCTGTGTCTCCAGGTGGCCCTGGGTGATGGAGTGGAATAGAACTCTTATACCTAATTTAAAAGTCAAAAAATTACATGCAGTGAAATGTGCAAAGCGCTATCACCTTAAATGTATGCTTGATGCATTTTTATATATGTATACACCCATGTGAGTACAATCAGATGAAGATACAGAATATTCTAGCATGTCAGCAGGTTAGAATAGAACTTAATAAAACAGTCTTACTCAAACTATTGTTTTGGACCCTTTAGATAGGAAAGAGTCATTGTGAGTATAACATATGTATTAATTCCTTTGGGAGAGTGAAAAATTAATAGTGTGTTTTGCCCTTTTCAAAGGCAAGTGGGCACTGGTCTGATTTCCATTATTCATGGAAGTATAGTGCTCATTGAGAGGCCCTAGAAACAGCTGGTGCTTTCAACAACCTTTCTCACTTTTTAGGGAAGGGCTGTTAAAAAAATGAGAGCTTACTCATGGGTGATTATTAACAAGAGGGAGCAGTGTCTAAAGAAACTATAATTACTTATTAGTAGAGTATAAATTTTGTGATTAGATCTGCAAAAGGCCTTGGATTATCTTGTCTAGTCCCTTCCTCATGATGACACGAGATTCAAAGTGGCAGATGTCTTATCTAAGTCAGTCTCGGGGCCTCTGACTTTTTTAGGTAAAAAGTTTGTCATTTTTTATGTTAAATTAGCAAGAGGATAGGAACTCAAAGGGAAGAGGCTATGTTTGTGGCTGCTGCTAAGTGACAGGTAAACATGTTGGGAGAAGAGTGACCCATTCTGGGATCTTCTTCAAATGTCCCCATAAAATACAAGAAGGGGAGAGTTCAGAGAGCAAAACCTAAATTTCTGGACTTGGATTTTGCTAACAATACCTGCTTTTTGCCTACTGCCGCCTGTAACTCTAGCCTGCTGCCCTTCCTTAGATGCTGGGAAGACTCTCATGGGTCCCAGGAATAAACTTGCAATTGAGGAGCATGGGAAACTGCTCTTTTCTCTTTGGTCTCTTCTCTCTTCCCCTCCCCTCTCCTCCCCTCCCTTCTCCTCCCCTCTTTCTTTCTTTCCCTTTCTCTCTCTCTCTCTCTCTCTCTCTCTCTCTCTCTCTCTCTCTCTCTCTCTCTCTCTCCTCCCCGCTTCCCTCCCTCCCCCCTCCCTCCCTTCCTTCTGGGGGTTATCTTGATGCCTACATGGCTCTCATTGACAAGGCAGTGCAGGGTCATAGAGGAACCCCTTTTCTTGGGATTGGAGACACATGGGGCTTTTATCTCTCTCTAAAGGGAATTAACAGGTGGCAAAGGGCCAAGTTCTGTTCTAGGGTTAGTTATATTTAATACCTTTACTGCGCCCTCTTTTGAGCCTTGGGGAAGAGTCCTGGGTAACCTCATCTCCCATACCCACACTGAGTTTTCTGTTTGGGGGTCATGACTAGTGCTGTTTTATTGTTTTGATGCCATATGGCCATGGAACCTGTGGTAAATGCCATGCCTTGTTATTTGAGAAGTCACTTTTGTAGGTGTCCAAGTGTTTCACAGACTTTCAAAAGTCACTGACATAATGGCTGGGTGTGGTGGGTCACACCTGTAATCTCAGCACTTTGGGATGCCAAGGCAGGCGGATCACTGAAGGTCAGGAGTTTGAGACCAACCTGGTCAACATGGTGAAACCTTGTCTACTAAAAATACAAAAATTAGGTGTGGTGATGCACGCCTGTAGTCCCAGCTACTAGGGAGGCTGAGGCAGGAGAATCACTTGAACCTGGGAGGCAGAGGTTGCAGTGAGCCAAGATCATGCCACTGCACTCCAGCCTGGGTGACAGAGCTAGACTCCATCTCAAAGAAAAAAAAGTCACTGACATAATTTTTAGACACCTGAAAGCCATGAGCTAAAAGTATGTTAACAGGAAAGAAGTAATCTCTTGATTCCTTTCCTACTGCAAATGGCTTCTTTTGACCTGCTTATTCAATAGAGGAGAATTTATAAAAAAGAGTGCCAATGAAATGCCATCTTTCTTCACAGGGAAGGAAACCCCATGTTTCTTCCTGGTCTTTTATGGAGACTGTCAGCATGCATTTATACAGAAACGAGGGAACAATTCATCATATACAATTCAATTAAACAAAAATTGCACATCATTTCCAGGGCTTATGGGATTAATTTTAATTAATAATTTTATAGTTCTAATGGAAAACATGAAAGAACTCATAAAACCCTATCAAATTCAGTGATGACATATTTTAAAATGCTTTATCACCCATGTTTATCATTGTATGAAGCTTAAGAAAATGACCAGAACCATCTAGGTCTTCTCTGTGCTTTCTTTCTTTTTGCTTTTCTTTTTAAAATATGAATGATCCTATTCATTTTTTTGTTCATTTTTTTTTTTTGGTGACAGAGTCTTGCTCTGTTGCCCAGGCTGGAATGCAATGCTGTGATCTCAGCTCACTGCAACCTCTGCCTCCCAGGTTCAAGCAACTCTGCCTCAGCCTCCCGAGTACCTGGCGTTGCAGTTGCCCACCACCATTACCAGGCTAATTTTTTGTATTTTTAGTAGAGACGGGGTTTCAGCAATTTGGCCAGGCTGGTCTTGAACTCCTGACCTTGTGATCCACCTGCCTTGGCCTCCCAAAGTGCTGAGATTACAGCTGTGAGCCACCATGCCTGGCCTTTTTTTTTTTTTTTTTCATTTTAATGGCATTTCATTTAGAGTTTTTTTTTAAAGCTTGACTCTTTTTCCAGCTTTTTTCTAATTGATCTATATTCCGTCTTTAAAAAATCTAATCCCGTTTTTGATAAGATTGGTGAAGGGTATAAATTTGGTTGATATCTTCATGCATTTATAACTAGACAAGCTTGTTTCTAAAACAATAATTTTTTTTTTTTGAGATGGAGTTTCGCTCTTGTTACCCAGGCTGGAGTGCAATGGCGTGATCTTGGCTCACCGCAACCTCTGCCTCCTGGGTTCAAGCAATTTTCCTCCCTCAGCCTCCTGAGTAGCTGAGACTACAGGCGCGCACCACCATGCCCGGCTGATTTTTGTATTTTTAGTAGAGACGGGGTTTCACCTTGTTGACCAGGATGGTCTCGATCTCTTGACCTCGTGATCCACCCACCTCGGCCTCCCAAAGTGCTGGAATTATAGGCGTGAGTCACCGCACCCGGCCAATAATTTTTCTTTTTTTTTGAGACAGTCTCACTGCATTACCCAGGCTTGAGTGCAGTGGCACAATCTTGGCTCACTGCAACCTCTGCTTCCCAGGTTCAAGCTATTCCCCTGTCCCAGGCTCTCGAGTAGCTGGAACTACAGGTACCTGCCACCATGCCTGGCTGATTTTTGTGTTTTTAGTAGAGACGGCATTTCACTATGTTGGCCAGGCTGGTCTTGAACTCTTGGCCTCAAGTGATTCGCTCACCTCAGCCTCCCAAAGTGCTGGGATTATGGGCGTGAGCCACCCACAGCACCTGGCCTGTTTTCTAAAATAATGGAACAGGAATTGTTTCTGATGCCATTTTACTTGCAATTATAGAAATAGTCCGTTTTCCCTAAAGTAAAACTTCAAGGACAGAGTTGTATTATTTAGTGGGTTACTCACTAGCCTTTTGATAGTTTCATCAAAAGTCACCTTTTGATAGTTTTGACCGGCTGTGGTGGCTCACACTTGTAATCCCAGCACTCTGGGAGGCTGAGGCAGGAGGATCACTGGAGGTCAGGAGTTCAAGACTGGCCTGGGTAACATGGTGAAACCCCATCTCCAGCAAAAAATCCAAAAGTTGGCCAGGCATGGTGGTGTGCACCTGTGGCCCCCAGCTACTCAGGAGGCTGAGGCGGAAGAATCACTTGAACCTGGGAGGCAGAGGATGCAGTGAGCCAAGATAGTGTCATTGCACTCTTGCCTGGGTGACAGGGCAAGACTGTCTCAAAAAAAAAAAAAAAAGCCACCTTTTGATAGGTGATTGGGTGGGTTCTGACAGAAATTTTTGTCATAGAGTTTGTTTAAAAATACTATGGAGTACTTACTGTGTGAGAGGTAGCACATCATTCTCTGTGGTCAGAATGCTGTATGAAACAGAACTATATAGTTGATACATGCTATGAAGGGGAAGTACAGGTGCAGCAAGAGGGTGCATGACCTGAGGGAAGATTTCCTTAAACATTTGGGCTGAGATGTGAAGGCCGAGGTAGGGGCTACATAGGCAAAGAAGGGAGAAGCAGGGTTCTGGGAAAGGGGAGCGGCAGGTATGCTGGGGAGGCTCTGAGAGGTGGCTCAGAGCACAGGAGGAGTGGGAATTTCAGGCTACAGTGTCTGGTGTGCACAGAACCAGGGGTAGAGGGGCTGGGATGAGGCTGAGAAAGAAGGTGGGGAACAAATGACAGGCAATAATGTTGCTTTATTTTAGGCAGATAAATGACACAATCAGACTTCCTATGTGAAATGATCATGCTGGTTATGGTCCAGAGAACAGGTTCTGAGGGGCATGGGTAGAAACTGGGAGACTAACTTGTGGCAGCTGGCCAGTCAGGAGCAGTGGGGCGCTTGCACTGGGGAGATGGAGTGAGATGGAGAGATGTGGACACCTTGGAGAGAGATTTAGCCGGTGATGGACAACATTTATAGTTTTGGAAAGTGTTAGCTTTCTTCACAGGAAGGATCCCCTCATGCCAAAGCATCAGTCATATGATTCTAGTCAGAGCCCTGATTGATAGATCAGAAAGAGACATCTTAATAATGGTTCACACCACTCTTGGGGCTGGACTGAGGAATGGTGCTTTGAAAGGTGTTTGCTGAGTTTTTACTAAGGAAACAGACTATGAGGTATGGTCAGAAAAACCACCAGGGCCCATAGTTTGCCCCAATATCAGTGAAATTCAAACCAGAGTAAGCAAATGAACAAATTAAGGTGCTTGCACTCAACTCCATGTGGTACTGATACTTGGACCAGTACTTACTGATTTTATGTATTTATTTTTTGAAATTAGATAGACACAAAGGTATGTAGGTAGGTAGATACATAGATGACACTGGGTCTCACTCTTGCCCAGGCTGGTCTCAAACTCCTGGGCTCAAGCAATCCTTCTCCTGCCTCAGCCTCCCAAAGTGCTGGCATTACAGGTATGAGCCACCATGCCTGGCCAATGGCCAGTACTTTACTGCAGAAGGATATTGGCATTTCAGTCCCTGGTGGGAGTGGGAGGGTGGGGAAGAATTAAAAATAATGCCAATCCACTTTTCACATTTGATTCAAAATTATTATTATTATTGAAATAAGATTCAAAATTTTTAAACCTTGCATTGCAATTTCATTTCCTAATAGCTGTCTTGACAAATTTGATTTGTAGCTTCTGTTTATTGTCTGCCACAGTCTGCTTTTCCTCTTTGGAATATTGACAAATTTTCTAGCTGTTGAGATATTTCTTTCCTAATTACTTTGTGACAAACTAGTGAAGCAGAATCTGCTTCTAAGACATAGCCTGGTGTGAAGTAATTAGCTTACCAAGTAGCCTGATCTTTTCTCATGTGAATTCATTCAACTACCAAATAACAGCCTGCGTCACTGTTGCATATTGAAAGCAACCCTTAATGTGATTCTATTTTCTTTGTTGTAAATCAGCAAGAATTTATGCTCTTATTTTTATCATTCCTGCCAACTGAGGAGATAAATATTTCATAAAATTAACTTGGGTGCACATCATTATAAGATCTTGCCTATTTCCAACAGTAGTTAAATGATGTATTTCCTTAATGTCGCTATATATTAGAAATTACCTTAGTAACATAGTTAAGACTTACATTTGTGATAGTGATGGTTAATGTGGAAAATTACTATGCTATAACATGAAATGTTCAGAGCACATACCCTTCACCCAGACTACTGGGAGTTCAAGTCCCTGCTCTTCCATTCATCAGCTATATGACTTTGAATAAGTTGCTTAACTTCCCTGTTCTCAGTTTCATCACATGTAGAATAGGGATAACAGAAGTACTGGGGTTGTCCATGTAAAGAACTTAAAATACCTCAGCATGATGAATGCCATACGTGGTCTATCGAAGCTAGCTGATTTTGTTGTTATATTTAACAAGCACAGAAAAGCCAGTGGGAAACACTGATCACTATGGCTATAGGAAATGTTCTTATATATTCTTTTTGTTTCTTCCTAGCTTTTCCTAAGCCCAAGTGGGACTGCCAATTATTTGATTCTTATTCTGAGTCATTGCCGGCAAATCAACAACCTCGTGACTTGAATCGGATGGAGGTGAAAGATCTTCATATGTGAATAAATAAGGATGTGTGTGGAGTTAAATCCATTAGCCTATGTTCTTTACGAACTCTGGAAAAGGAACTTTTCTTTTGTTTGAAAATGAACTTTTATAACATTTTCTCTTTATACTTGGTAATTATTAATACTTTGACGCTCAATCTTTTAGATCTAGACACCAGATATATCTATAATTTTTTCCCTTTTCTCCCTAAAATTGGATGTGGTAAAGTAAGTAACATAATCTCTAGACCTTCTAGAGGTAACATGTAGGTATAGCCAAACTAAGCCAGAAAATTCTAGCCAAGTTATTTACTTTAACCAAGCTCTAATTCCCTAGTAAACACTTTTAATTGTATTTTTTATCAGCTGGGCATTCATATGTTATACTGAACCAGAACTGTTTTGAGAGGAGGTTTGAGAACTTTATATGAGGGCCCCAAATCACATTCGGAGCTCCCTCAGGGTTTTTAGCTTTTGGACTAAATGAGGACTGATTTGGATGATCCCCAAAAGGAACTCAGAGAATTCCCCCAGTGTTGAGCCATGGATGGGAGAGCTTAGCCAAGTGCTCAGGGAGCCTTAGCTATGGATCAATAAATAGGAGTTGGTATAGTTATTGTTGTCATCACCACTGTCATGGTCATCATCATCACCATTATGATTACCATGATGACAACTTAGGATACCTGCTGTTCCCTTCCTTAAAAGACCTGGAAATGTTTAATAAATGGAGCTTTACTCACAGACTCCTATTACAGTCCTCTGACCCAAGTTGAAACCGCTGTAAGATGATAGAAGTCAAAGGCAGGAAACAGGGACATTTCTTTAATTTCTTGTGACTGTGCATGATGATTTATCCTCTTACATGAGTCCCTCATGCCTGTAGCATGTGTTATGGATGGCACCTTCTGCTCCCCTGCGAGCCAGTCAAGCCTGCCTCTCCAGTCCTTTAACATCTCTCTTTGACATTTTGCTCCTCTTTCTTTGAGTTGTAGCCTTCCTGGTAGTTTCCTCAGATTTCTACTCATGGAAAAGATATAAAGAAAAGTCATTTCAGGAGGAATGACAGATGTGCATTTCAAGAATTTTGATTAAAATTGTTTCTGCAGAGTGCATATGACAAAGAGACAGATAAAATAGTTTGCCACTTTTCATGGCCCTCAGTTTACTTTGGAGCTTCTAGCAGTGTTTGAAGAGCTTTATCAAGCGAGGATGGGTATCTCTATAGCTCTCTGACTCTGCGCGCGCATATGTGTGTGTGTGTCTATGTGAGTGTATGTGATGGCTCCTCTGCTTACATAAAATGATGAGGTTATTAGTTGATCTTCCTTAGAATGGCCATAAAATCTGTTACACACACACACACACACACACACACACTCTCTCTCTCTCTCTCTCTCTGATGTCCTGGATAATGTTACATATATTCACCTTTGTGGACATTATATGCAGCTAGTTTCATATACTTTTGTATACTTTAAGTGGTCTCCTTGGGTAGGGGAGATTAAAAACTACCTGGTCCTTTTTTTTTTTTTTTTTCTCTATCCAAAGAGAAAGTAAAACAACAATAAAAACTCCCTCTTTTCCAACCAGATTGTAATTTTTGAGGATGGTATAGTTTTAGACAATGAATGCAGTAAACAGAATTCAAGGACAAAGTAATAGGGTTAATTGATAGTTTGTCCATTTGAGAAGTATAGGTCAGATTATAATAGCTAATGATTCAATCTTTCATGTTCTTCTAAACTATTGCTGATTGTTCTTTCTACCGGTCTTTTCATCTATCATAAATGTGTGGAGTTTAACTAGATTTTGTAACTAGCCCTGTGATCAATGACTCCAGTATAGGTGCTTGTGTTCTGAAAAAGCTGCAGCTGATTTAGGTCTCAGGTCATGAGAAATTGGCATAGTGATACATCTTTTACTAAATACAGCAGAGCTATAACCATGTGCTTATTTCCATTAAGAATTACAGATGATAATTTCAGGTATATTCCTCTTTATGAGTGTCTCTTAGATTACTGGATTTCTTTCTTTTTCGAAACAGCTTTATTGATGTAGACTTTACATACCATACCCATTTAAAGTATACAGTTCAGTAATTTTTACTATATTAATAGTTGTTCAGCCATCACTGCAGTTTAATTTTAGAACATCATCCGCCCAAAGAGAAACACAATACTCATGAGCAGTCACTTCCTATTTTCCTGTCTCTGCTAGCCTCTGATAATCACTAATCTATTTTCTGTCTCTGGATTTGCCTATTCTGGACATTTAATATAAATGGAAGCATATATTATGTGGTGTTCTTGACTGTCTTCTTTCACTTAGTATAATGTTTTCAAGGTTCACTCAGATCGTAACATGTATCAGTGCTTTATTCCTTTTTAATGTTGAATAATGTTCGGTTATATGGGTATGCTACATTTTGTTTGTCCATTCATCAGTTGATGGACATTTGCATTGCTTCCACTTTTGACTATTGTAAATAATGCTGCTATGAACATAGATGTACAAGTTTTTGTGTGGATGTGAATTTTTGGTTCTCTTGACTATATACCTAGGAGTGGAGTTGTTGGATTGTATCATAAGTTAATTTAACTTTTTGAGGAACTATCAAAGTGCTTTCTAAAGCAACTACACTATTTTACATTGACACCAGCAGTGTATGAGGGTTCCAGTTTTCCCATATCCTTGTTAACACTTACTGTCCACCTTTTTGATTTTAGACACCCTAGTGGAATGAAGTGGTATCTCACTGTGGTTTTGATTTGAGTTTCCTAATGACTAATGAGGTTGAGCATCTTTTTGTGTGCTTATTTGCCATTTGTGTATCTTCTGTGGTGAAGTATCTAAATCCTTTGTCCATTTTGAAATTGAATTACTTTTTTTTACTTCGGATTGTCTTGGCTATGCTGGCTCTTTTTAGGTTCCATATGAAATTTAAGGTGTTGTGTTTTTTTTTTCCCCAATTCTGTGAAGAAAGTCAGTGGTAGCTTGTTGGGGATAGCATTGAATCTATAAATTACTTTGGACAGTATGCCCATTTTCATGATATTGATTTTTCCTAACTGTGAGCATGGAATGTTTTTCCATCTGTTTGTGTCTTCTCTTATTTCCTTGAGCAGTGGTTTGTAGTTCTCCTTGAAGAGGTCCTTCACATCCCTTGTTAGTTGTATTCCTAGCTATTTTATTCTCTTTGTAGCCATTGTGAATGGGAGTTCACTCATGATTTGACTCTCTGTTTCACTATTACTGGTGTCTTGATAATTTTAGATTTGTAGTAATTTTTGAAATCAGGAATTGTGAATCATTTAACTTTGTTCTTCTTTTTCAAGAATATTTTGCTATTCTGACTTTTTTGCAATTTTATTTGAAATTTAGGATCAGCTTGCCAAATTCTGACAAAAAATATTCGCATCAGTTTGGAGAGCGTGGCCATCTTACCAATGCTAAGTTTTCTAACTCATGAACATGAGATGTCTTTCCATTTATTTAGATACTTAATTTCTTTCAACAGTTTTTTGAGATTTCTTTTTATCTACATTGCCTGCTCCTAAATTATGTCATTCTCCCAAGGGGTCTGGTTTATAATGCAGGGGGAGAAGGCAGTGAAAGAAATGCATTGTTATGATACATTGTCTGTTCTTTTGGAGATCGACTTCGAATAGGAAATTATATCTGGACACTTAATGCCAAGAATTACCTAAGTGAAGACTGTTAAATCATAGACCAGTTTCCTACTAAGTAATACTTCAGTCTCTTTTTTTGGAAGTTTAAAAACAAAAGTATTGCTTATCTCTCTGGAGTTGTTTAGGTTCTGAGAGGTAAACCAATTAACTTTTTGAAACACCAGATGGCTGCTCTCCTTCCTTAAAGATAAATGTTAAAATTTACCTTTATTTGATTTATGACTATGTTTTAAATATAAACAATATCAAAAAGCATAGATGACAAGTCCTCCTCCCATCCCTTTCCTTCATCTACCAAGTCACCGTTCAATTTTTACATATCTTTCCAGAGTTGGTGTATATAAATAAAGCAAATGTGAATATATATTATTCTTTAACTGAATCTTGTCATAGGTCTTAGAGTACATATTCTTTTCTAGCTTTGAGGTATAATTGACAAAAATATATATTCACAATGTTTTGATCTATGTATATATTGTGAAATGATGACTGCAATCAAGCTAATTAACATATCTGTCATCTTGCGTAGTTACCTTTTTTGGTGTGGTGAGAACATTTAAGGTCAACTCCGTTAGCGTTTTCAAGTATACCATACATTGTTATTAACTATAGTTAGAATGTGTGTTAAATTGAGAATTTATAAGAAATGAATCTATAGTAAGTAGATTTTAAACAGTGTAAAAAACTCATAATATATTTGGGTGTTCATATTAGTATAAGTGAGGACTTTCTCTATATTTGCATTAGGACAAAATTTTAATCTGCTCATCCATAAAATTCTTTTATCCCACAACAAGAATGCTGTTGTGTTCAGGTTGAGACACTGTCTGCATGACAGATCTTGGCAAACACCCACATTGTGGGGCCACCTGTCAGAACTTCTTTGTGTTTGTAAAAAAAGAATATATAAAGGACAGGTTTGTTCTTGGCCAAATGGACAAGAGTTGCTCTGCAGTTCTCTGGCTGAATCCCAGTCTGAATTTAGATTCAATACATGTGCCTTAATCTGAACCATTTTTTTCCTCTGTGTGTGTAAAATTTCAATACAAATTAACATATATCTCACTAGGAAACTAAAAAAATAAGATAGTATTAAATGGCAGGGTTTACTGCAGACCAGAATATTGGCAAGAAATAATAGCTTTTAAACCATTTTTGTCATATGTACATATCACTTAATTTCCATTCTGACCAGTTTAATTCATTTACTTTTCTTTTTCCAAGAAGACATCTGTTAAAGACACAGCTGACCTTCCTGTCTCTACCCAAGATGTGACTGGTGATGACAAACAAGGTAGGAAAATAATGAGTTTTCTTCCTTAATCAGTGTTATACCTCTGTTTTCTTATCTACTCCTCTTGGAATGGTGGCTTCTAGAGCATATGAGGATGGTTCTCAGCATGTAGACACATTTGGATAGATTAAGTAGTTCAAATCATTGTCATAAAACAATAGTTCACAAAGTGGTAGCAAGAGCTTGAGTGTCCAGAGTCTTCCAACTCATTGGCCCCTTAGTCATTGCTAGCCCTCAGGCTACTCTAACACCTTACACTGGAATCTGATCGTAGCAATTAGAAATAACTAGAAACTGAATGAATTGAGAGCTTAACATCCTGTGTTTGCAGATGTGATCCCAGACATCAATGTAAATGCACATTTGCACACAGCTCTAACCCATGAGGAAGTTATCTTCTGGACAGAGCTTCTGTCCGTAGCATTTATCTGTTTCTTGGCTTTGTGACTGTGGGAGTGTGACATGGAGCCCAGCTACAATTTTCCTATCTTACTGGGCAGCTAAGAAGCAGTTCCTATACTTTGTAAGAACCACTTCCTATACTTGTGTATAGTGCTTTATAATCTACTATGTCCTTCCTCACATACTGTCTTATTCAATCCTTACAAAACTAAATGGAAGCTGGTATGTTTTATCACCTAAAATTTAGAGATTAGTAAAGTAAGATTCAGACACTATGAATCATTTACTTAGTTATTAAGAAAAAGATTTGGGGCAAGAACCAAGATTTTTTCTAAGCCTCAAGCTAGTATTCTGCCTGTTATTTGATATTGATTTACTACTTATGAATGAGAGGCTTATTTGAAGGGACTAAAAATCAGTGAAGCTATTTCAGGTTTTATTGTTGAGGCCTGCCATTGATTAGGCATTGTATGGGGGCTAAACATGAAAAATAAGTTTTCCATTAAGCAACAGTAATTGCATGCTCTCTATTTGAATACTTGCTCGGGAGAGACAGGTAGAACTGGGCAGCATGTACTCTGACCATTCTCCTAACTGCATAGTGGAGTAACTGGGCAAGCTGTAAAAATACTGAAGCCCAGATTTTACTCCCAGGAATTCTCATGTCATTGGTCTGGGTGTCAGGAATGAAAGAGGGAAAAATTCCCCATACTTCTTGGTAGTACTCCTCCTATCTGCTAGAGGTCCTCTCTCTGGAAAGTTGAAAAATACGTCTTTGCTCTTTGTGGAAGGAGAACCTATTTCCATACTCCAGGAGGTCTTTATTGTTTTAGTAAATGCTATAGCAACTTTTAGAGGTTCGTGAGACCTGTTTTTGTAAGTGATGACTAGGGATTCTTTGTTTTAATGTAATTTGCCTCAGAAACAACATTTTATAGTTTTTTTTTCTTTTTTTCCTCTTTTTTCTTGTTCCTTAAAAACAAAACACTGCTAGCTTTGAAAAGTACTGTCAATGAAGCCTTACCAAAGGACGTGTCTGAGGATCCAGGTAGGAGAAAACCATTTTTGTATACTTCTATATAATTTTTAAAAATAAAAAAACCAGCAAGTCAGTGAGTAGAAGATTGATAACTCTGTGATATTGTGTCTGTTTCTATTTATTTGTCTTGTATTTTATTACAAGGAAACCTTTTGGCTTTTTACCCTTTCTCTCTTTTCAGATATAAGAACAGAGTGATATCTTTTTAAGTTTTTAATTTTTACTGAAAGGGATCACAAAGGCTCACTCAGTGTAAATATAGGGTCTTGTTACTAAGTGTAAAATTGAGAAGGCTTGAGGTTGAAATGGTTTCAATAAGCCATTTTAGGTTTTTTGTAGAGTAAGGAACCTATAGGGTAGATCAATTGGAGGCCCAGAGTTGGTGTTTTCCATTTCCAAAGCAGAAGTCTCAAATATTTATGTTATGCTTCACCACCAGGAAGGCAAAACTATATGTGCTTATATATGGAGTGGATTCCAAGGAGCAAAATTAAAGTTGTCCAGTTTTTTGGAGAGTCAGACCTGTGTCTTTGGAGCCATGGAGAATGGCTGCACCTGTGTCTCCAGCTCTCTGTTGGTAGAGCCATCACTGAACCTAGTTAAAAACAAAGTGGCTACAGAAGACATTACTATTTGGAGCTCTAGTTAAAAGGACATGAAAGAAGTTGTTGCTTTCTCTTTTGCTGTTATCTTTCTTGCATGTTTTTAATAAGTCAGTCATGTTTGTTGTGATAAGCTAGCTGTCATCTTGGGCTTATTTGTTGAACGTTGGAACAGAGGAATCAATATAATGTTGAGGCTTATGCTGTGGTACAGTAATTCCCAAATGTCAAGTTCTTTCAGAGTTTCAAAGAGAAGGATGGAGAGAGAGGAAGGAGTTGGGGGAGTAGGGGGAAAAGATGGGGGAGGGAATGAGAGAGAGAGAGAGAGAGAGAGAGAGAGAGAGAGAGAGAATATGAGAATGAGAATAAATATGAATGAATGTGGATGATGGATTTCAAATATGGAGGCCTGCGAATCTGTATTTTCAGTTAGCTCCCCAGTTGGTTCTGGTACATAACCTATTTTGGGAACCACCACATTTGGAAGGTGATTCTACAAAACAGAAAATTAAGGTTATAGATTAATCATGACTCCAAAAGTGATGGGAATTCCTAAGCTTAATTTTGACTTATGAAACAGATTTGAATTTATTCCTCATTGGGTAAAATGCTCTGTTAATGTAGGCCAAACACCTGGGGTCAGTTCTTTCTAGCTCTAATTTCAGGAACCAAAGTGGATACATTCCAGTTTTCGTAAACTTCATGTTGTAGTATTAGTAAAAGCTGTTTAAATTTGGAGTGTTAAATTGGTGCTTCTCCCATAGACTCTGAGGAGCATAACTCTTCCTACTTTTTTTTTTAAAGGAATTTTAACACAAGATCAAGTGTCCTGTGGGGCATGAGCTTTAGATCTCATTTTTAACATTACTTCATTGTCTAGGATATGGCATCACCAAATAAAACTTGACAGGTGTGCCACAGCACGGGAAGTATGTCAATTTATTTCACATTGTGCCCAGGAGTATGGTATGTGTTTTTTAATTTGTTCTTCCCACTGCTGCCCTTCTCTGGGTATGAGAGAGTTCCTCATCTTCAACATAGTTAATCCCTCCTTTTCTGGGAAATGTCTAGATTCTCAGTGGGAGACACAAGAGTTTCAAGGTGGTGATTTAGAATTCTGGATGGCTGTCCATGCCATGTGGGCCTCAGTTCAGTTGCTGCCTTTTGGAGGGTTAATCTCTAGGCCTGCTCCTCTTTCCGTTCCCATTTCTGGAAAGATGACATGCCTTGAGTCTTCTAGGAAGTTGGCATTCCTCTTCCCTCTTTCCAGCTATATAAGAAGCTGTGATCTGTTTGTTGTAATTGCTGGACGTGTCCATATTAGTGGAGTCTTAAGAGATTTCTTAAACAATACCCATTCCAACCTTATTCAGCAGAGCACCCTGCACAATGGTGGTCTTTTTCTTGATGTCTCTGGCTCATGCTGAGGTGTTTTTGGCTGGTTCACCCTCACAGTGCTGTCTTCAGACTGCTGTTGGTGATTCTAGCAGCTGCTCCATTGCCAACTACTGCCCCATGGTTTTATTGGGGTAGAGCAGTTCTCTCCTTCCGTTACCTGCTCCCACCTGCCCCTCCTCTGCTGTCTTAGAAGGAACTAAATTTAGAAACTAGATTTCCAGGCTTGAAAAATTAGGAGACTTTATTTATGTATTCTATAATATTAATATTTTACAATTCTAAAATGCATTCAATTTTTAAAATACTTTCACCTTATCTGTCCCTGTGAGAAAGAGACTGCGTTTTTATGGTCTTTGTTTTCTTGGTAAGGAGACTGAGGTTCAGGGAAGTAACAGCTAGTTAGTGTTATAGCCAGGAGGAGTGCCCTGGTCTCAGGACTCCTGGCCTGGTTTCTAGTCCTGTCTCTCCACTACTCATCCACACCCTCACCCCATCTGTCTGTCTGTCTGTCTGTCTGTCTATCTATCTCTTACCAGCAGGGCTCACCCCTCCTTCCACACCCATCCCTACCAGCAAAAAGACAAAGATAATGGCAGTTGACAAAGGAATTAAAAGTCACCATGGTCTGGTTTGGGGAACAGTATTTTATCATGGCCGGGACCTCTCCTACCCATGTATTTCTTGAAAGCAGTGGGGCCTGAGGGAGAAGAGGGCCACGGAGCCAGCTGCAGGCAGCCTGCGCAGAGGGCTTCCCCAGCTCTGTGGTGAGTCTGGTCCACTCTGTCCACCCAGCCCCAAGGCAGCCTCCTGGACTGGGAGAGAGGCTTCTCAAGGCTGCTTTCTTTGCTACTTGGGGTTTATATGAGGGAGGGAGGTCTTTTTCTGTCTATATCCAGGTGCGAGTGCACAATAATGGGCAAAAGGGGACTCAAACTCTTTGGGCTTTCCAGGCTTTCCTGTGCCCTGGCAGTGTTTCGGCTGCTTGAAACTGGACGATGCTTGTGTTCTCACTACAGCAAGCCAGAATGCTTGGGTTGGGAGAAGTGCATCTCTCTGCAGCTGACCAGTAGTTTACTTTGTGCCTTGTTAGCATTTATGAGGATTTTCATCTCCCCTCTCTGCCCTGATATCTAACCCAAGCATTTTAATGATCATAAATTCAGGCTGCTTCATACCAAGGAGGGTTTTTCTCTTTGGAGCAATGTAAAAGAGGATGAGATTGTGCAGAGACATTTTCTTTTCAGAAGAATTCATGCAAACAAAGAAATTACATTCTTCTGGTTCTGTATTACTAGCACCTTTCTATGATTTTTTATGACATTTTATAATGAAAAATTTGCAATGTTTGCAACACCTGAGCATAGCTACTGGTTCCTAAAGTTGTCTTCCATAGAGGATTGAAAGCATAAAAAGAGGATCAGGGGTTTTGTAAATGTTTTTAATTACTCCTCACAACTTGTGATGGGGAAGTAGGCTCTATGGGTGCTGTCAGTGAGCAAGTTAGTTTACGATTTAAATTTAATGAGGAAAAGTCATATGGCTGGCAAAAGATTCAGTGATTTTGTTTCATAATTCTCTGTGATTTGGTCACAGAGATGTGGGACACAAGGATATTTTCTTACAGGAGAAGCTGTATAGCTCATTTCCACTTACATGTGAGAGCTTTGGGTTTCTGTGGCCATGCTGCTCTGGTAGTGTATTAAAACAAACAAACAAACATGTAGCTAGATAGACTTCCTGCTATCCTTCAGGGTAGACTGGTTCAAAATCTGTTTCTAGGCTATCATGATAGACCAAGAAACCCTCAAGTGTGAATCCATCATTACATAAAAAGACAACTCTTTCAAGGGGTTGTCTTTTTATACTGGAATGTCTTCATTAATCAACTTGGATTTGAGAATGGCCTCTCAAATAGTGCTCTGGCTAAAGGAAAAATATTCTGATTTTTCTTTCTTTTTAATTGTGCCTTTAGATTTTGAAATAAAATGAGGAAATCATGAAAATGTGGGAGCCATCCAGTTGTCCACATGGGCACTTTTACCTCACATTTATCTGTTGATATGTTCTGTACTAGCCCAGGTGCTGCATATAAACTTGTTTAATTGCAGAAATGAAACCCAAACAAACAACAAATAATCTTTGTTTCAGCAACTCCAAAGGATTCCAACAGTCTCAAAGCAAGACCAAGATCCAGGTAGTGTTCGTTTAATTTCTGCTTTAATGCCCTTTGTGCCCTGGCCTTGCCTAGAAAGAAAAACCACAAACCAAAAACCCAACACATGAGTTCCTCTTCCTTTACATGTAAAGCTTAGGATATGAGACATTTCACTAATGCATGGCCTGATGGGAATGTGCAATGTTGCTGGGAGCCTTGGTTTCTGTATTGATTAGTGCTAGAAGGTGGTGGCTAATGCCCTATGGCCCCTCGATGTGAAGTGGATTGTGTGAGATGACCCACTTGTTGCAAGATGATAACTAATAGGGGGAAGTAGATTTGGAAAGGGGACAATATGGGTAAGGTAATGAACACGAAAATTTGCTGTCATGACAAGGTGAAAACCAAAAAGTAAAAAGTCTGGGTAATAAAATCTAGAGTAGGGAAAGAAAATGCTTGTATGCTTGTGATAACTTCAGCGAAGCTTGCAGCTTCAGGTAAGCAGTGCCTATGGTCTGTTAGAGCCTATCTTAGTACCCCTTCTCGGCTTCACATTTTTTTAAGAGGCTAGTAAAAGAGACAAAGCCAGTAAAGCAGAGCTGTCGTTGATGTGAGACTCAAAAAAGAGGAGCAGAGGGGAAATACAGACACTTAATAGAATTCATCCATTAAGGAAGGGAAATGCTTTTCACTGGTAGAACTGCAGTGTAAGGATACCAAGGATACCATGCGTGTGTTTTCTGTTTTGCTTTGGCTCTTAGTGACATTTTTCTCTCCTTTGCCTACTAGACACAATCCTGAAGAAGTAAATTTAAGTCTGATCATATTTTATATGCTTGAAATACTGATATTTAAGGAACTTCATCTCTTTGTAAGTCAAAGAGTTACCCTTTAGTTTCTATCTGCATTTTCCAAATTGGAGTTTTGTTTCCTTGTTTATATAAGATACAGATATCTATATTTTTATATTTATCAATATTTAAAAACAGCGAGTAATTCATTTAGATAGGAAGGAAAGGTGTAGGCATTCTTTTTCTATGTGGTCGACACATTTACTCATCCTTTTTTAAAGGATGAATAGATCTTTTACAAACTAGTCTGTACTAGTTTTGGGATATGCTTTCTCGTAGGAAATGCCTTTGAATTGCAGAAATCTGCTATGTGTACTATGTTAACTATAAATAGAACTTCAAAGTTTTAGCTTCTGCTGACTTTCTCTCTCCCAGAAAGCCAGTGAAATTATAAAATCTCATAGCCACATATTCTATTATTAATGTGTCTGGCTAAATTTTACATATTATCCTTTCAGAGATTGCTCTTTTTGTCTAATTTGGATGATTTTATTTTCAGTACTTCCCACTGGGAAAATCAAGAGAATTGAATTATTTTTATCTTCCTTTTTGAATTAATAAATTTTTGTAGAAATGTAAGGGAAAGAGAGAAAATCGCCATTCTAACACCACTGCATTAATCATTTTGTTAACTCCTTGCACATTTATGTTTTAATTGGTTGCAGCAGTCATGGTTATACAATCTCACATTTTTATATTCAGTAACTTTCCATATGAAGATATAAACATACAGGTTATATATGAAAATAAAATGAAAATGAGGAATATGCGCTATTGGATTGTGTGCTTAACTATGTGTATGCACACACATTATTCTTTTTTGAATGAAAGATGTCACTACAGCTATATGTGGCATAGAAAGTTATTTTTATTTCTAGCTAGTATCTCTAATTGTCTTTTTAAAGTGAATGTTTCTATTTAAGAACCTTGTCCATCTGTATCAGTTCCCTTTGATTCTTGTTTGAAGTGTCAGAGCGTTCTTCCTTGCTAGTTTCTGCCTGACTTTGTCTTGCCTGTCTTGCCAGTTATGTTACAGGGACCACCCCAGAGCACGTCACATGCCATTATGGTGGCTTTATTAAAGTTGCAACCTTCTAAGACAGACTAAACCCTCAGTTACCACAAAGAAACCTTAAGAAACTTATTCAGAAAAATAAAAACTCACGATGTCAAAAACGGCTCTGTCAAGAACTGAAGGGGTGTAATAGTAATTGATAGATTCTAAATTCCTAAATGCTTCTCTAACAGCTAAGTATAAAGAACGGTTTTCAGAGGTTAATTTGTCTCTAGGATGTACCTCTGACTCAAAGGTCATTTTCTGCTTTGACATGAAGTTAGTTGAGAAGCTAAATGCAACAGATGTGCATATCTACATCTTAGGGCCTTTTCTTGATCATCATATTGGGATCCTGTCCTTAAGCCTGTTCCCAGGCAATAGAACAGTGTATGGATTTGAATTGAATTTGGAAAGTAAGTAGATCTCCAATGAATATTCTAGTTGCTACCACCAAAGTATTCCCCCCTGGACTCAGGCAGTATGAGAACATTTTAAAAATGGAATTTAGAAACAGAGATTGGAGTTTGAATCAAACTGTGTAACTTTCTATCAGACCTTTTGCAAGTTACTTAGTTCCTTTTTAAAAAAATGGTATTACTGGAGTTACAGTCTCAGAAGTTGCCCAGTTAATTATGCTTTGCTATAGCTTGAGGAAGAAGGTTAAAACGAGGCTTTTGCTTTCTCAGGGCAAGACAGGCTAGACCCCTCCATCTGATTGAGTGTGTTTTCCTTTCCTAGCTTCATTTATGGCATATTCCCTTGAACACTGGATTCTTACCCTCAGCTTATCTGTTCCAATTCCACATTAGCCTGTCATCACATTTGCAAGTGAACAGGAGAAAAGTTCTCCAATCAGTTTATAGCATGAATCCCTTCTGTTAGAACATGGAAATGCCTGAGGGGCTCTATGTTATTAATAATTCCAATAGAAACAGATTTGAATTTACACAAGGTTTTTTTTGGGGGGAGGGTCGATTTAGGTCTAAGGTATAATAAAAACAATGAGATTTAAAAAGATCCCAATTCATGATTGGATTTGGACAATTATTGCACATAGCAGTGTTCAGTGGATAATAGAATTTATGGCTGCTTTGGTAGCTCATCGGTTCTCTGTAGTCACTTTGACTTTGGGGGTATTTTCCATTTCAACCCAACTTCAGAGAGTAAAGCTTTGCTATTTCCCTTCTGACCTTCCCTTATTTTGCTACAGATCTTACTCTAGCACCTCCATAGAAGAGGCCATGAAAAGGGGTGAGGACCCTCCCACCCCACCACCTCGGCCACAGAAAACCCATTCCAGAGCCTCCTCCTTGGATCTGAATAAAGTCTTCCAGCCCAGTGTGCCAGGTGAAGTGCCCCATGCCCTTGATCCCTTCCATTTCCTGTTGGAGCCAGTGGATGGGTGTCTGCCAGAGAGGCCTCTGTGAGTCTGGAGAAAGGGCTGACCTGGCAGTTTCGCATCCCGTGAAGGTCTTCATGTGGCTATGGTATTCTTGGGAGGGAAAGCAATTCTAGACACATATATAGTTCATGTGTCTGGAGCCTTGCCCACACTCGTTATGGATCAAGAATTGGGAAATTCTCTACCGAGAGGATAAAAACGCTTCACCCCCATGCAGTCTGCTGAGTGTGTGGCTGGGGTCTTATTCTCTGCATCACTGGTAATTTCTAAACAAGATAGATCACTGTCATTTCCTCAGATGCTTGAGTGGTTCTTCTATGAAAGACCTTGGAGACTGAGGCCTAGCCAGAGCCTTCTCCTGCACTTTACACATATGGAGAAGATCTTGTGTCCTGTAAGAATTAATGCTGAGGGGACTCTGAATCTGATTGATGGTTGGGTGGTTGGTGGAGGCTCCTAGGGCGAGGGCCCCTTCAGGTGGGCTTCTCTGGGCTTCTGGGGATGGGATGTTCATGATACAGCAGCTGTGTAGCTGGCCTGGAGGTGGGGGAGGACAGAGGGGCCCTGTCTGCTCCCCTGGTTTCCTGTGAAGTAGGAGATAAACTCCTAGGGAACCTAAGGAATAGAAGATGAGAGACATGCCTTTGCTTTAGTGAAGGTGATAGGATACAGTGCTGTCCCAAGTGTTATTTTGGGAGCAGCAAGGGCCTTTCCACTGACTCATGCAGGCAAGCTATAAATACAATGATTTCCTGGAACTTTTTCTCCATCTTTGTGCATTTTAAATCAGGCCAGCCTCAGATGCTAGTGATTTGCAGATTATTATCTTTTTTACTAAAGCAAGAAAAGGCTTTCCTTGGCTCACACATTAGCGTGACCTGTGTGTCTGGGCAGAGCTCAGCATGTTTTATTTGTTCTAATAAAGTACTCTCCTCACAGTAAAGTTATAGATTGTTTTTTAATATACTAGAATCTGGAACTCTCTATCAAATATAATTCTCTGCCATGAGTTCATCAGACAAAAATTTGCCTTGGATTTCCTCTCATACTTTGATCTGAATTCTGGTATAAATTTCATAGTGACTGGTATTTAGGGTGGGAGTAACCACAGGTGATGATGCTATAAAAATTTCACATGGCTGGGGGATTATGAACGGGAGGATTTTCCTATGGATGCAAGAAGATTAAAACAATCTGGACAGCTATCTCCATACCTTTCCCTTGCAAGGAGGGAGGCTGGAAATGCTCACACGTCTCTTTCAGGTTGTGTGACCCAGTAAGGAGATGCCAGCTGTACTGGAGAATTGACATGCTTTATGACATTGCATCACATAGTGGATGAGACAAAACTGGATTTGGAGCTCAGCTCAGCTGCTTATTCACTGTTTGATTTTCAGCAAGTGGCTTAATCTTTGTGCATCTCAGATTCCTAATCTGTACAGTAGAGCCAATACTCCATGGAGTTTTAAGGTTTTGGTGAGATAATAAATATAATCCAAATATGGGCATTCCTTATCCAAAATGCTTGGGATCGGAAGTGTTTCAGGCTTTGGATATTTTTTGGATTTTGGATATTTGCATTATATGTTTATCAGTTGGGCAGATAATAAAAAAATCTGAAATGCATCAATGAGTATTTCCTTTGAGTGTCATGTTATCACTAAAAAAGTTTAGTATTTTAGAGCATTTGGGATTCTGGATTTTTGGGATTAGGGATACTCAACCTGTGGTACTGTATTTGGCCCACAGGCCTTAGTAAGCATCTAAGGCCAAAATTCCTGTGGCCTGAAAGTATCAAGAATTTAATGCCTGAAATGGCAAGCCTCCACCAATGAGGAGAACACCTCGACTTCCTTGACACCTGGTGGACAATTCTGTGATTCTTCCTACCCTGTTTCTTGGAAGGCCTGCGAAAGGACTGAACCCCAGTTACCTGCTGTATTAACCCCATTCATTAATGTACTTTTTCTTGTCTTGCCTCCCTCCTGCCCCATCTCACTTTCCCCTCACTTGAATCATATACCTGTTCCAACACCCTATGTCAGGGGCTTCTTTAGGGGAAACCTGAATTAAGACAGCTTTCTTTAATATCTCCGTGTCAATGTGACTTCAAGATGAAAAGTATTTTGGTTTGATAATACCCTGATGAGGTCCTTTGTGGTAGGGCCTGATAAATCTAAGATTTAGACAAAGAATAGCTAGGTAGGTGATGTCTGTGTTCAATAGCCTAATTCCATTGTCTTTTCAGTACAAAATTATACAAATGAAATTTTAATGAGCAGTTTAAATTTATCACATGAAGAATAGAGCATTTCTGCAGTATGAAAAGTAGGTGGTATAATTGCATCTACTTTATTTTCATGTTGGTTAATTCTCACAGGAAAGTATAAGGGTCTGTCTAAATTATATAAAATTTTAATGTATTGCAATTGCTAGAAATTAATTATTGAAATGCTGACAAAATAGAAATTCATGAAATAGAGCCCAAACCTACCAGAAGAGTCAACTCACTGAGAACCATGCATACATGTAGCCATCCCTTTGCTGCACTTATCTTTATGTATCACTTTAGATAAATGGGATCACACTAGGCTTGCTGTCCTGTGTGTTGATCTTTCCAATTAACCATCTTTCTGTTTCATATAGAGGATTGCACCATTCCCTTTAAGGTCTGCATGATATGGATATACCATAGTTGACTGCTTTGATGGAGAGATCTTTCTCTCCTCCTTTCTGCCTTTTCTCTTCCCCACACTTTCCTCTCAAGCTCACCCACTACCCCATGACCCCACCCCCTCTTCCTTTCTCACCCTTGCAAACAAACTTCTCCCTCTCTCCACCCCACCCCCTGTGTCCTCTTTATGCCCCTCTGTCTATCTCCTCTTGCACCCTCTGTTTCTCTTTTTGTCCTTCTCCCCCCTCACTCCTCCACAGGCATGAGCTTCCCCTCAGTGCCCCCTTGCCAAGCTCCCCCACACCACCACCTCGATCTTGTGATATAAACAAGGGAGAGGTTATTAATGATTTCATGTCCATATCTTTGTTTCATCATCTAATTATTTTCTTAGGTTAAATCCTGTTGGTTGGAGTTGCACGGTCAAAGGTTGTAGATGTTTAAAGTGTAGCTGTATGTTGCCAAAGCATGAGGTGGAAAACCTGTCAACTTACTCCATCGTTAACACTGTCTGAAAGTATTTCCTCACAATCTCACCGACACTGTTTAATGTTTGTCTTTCTAATCATTACCTATATAATAGGCAAACAGTTTCATGTCCCTGATTCCTAGTGAGGCTGAGCATCTTTTTGTATTGTTATTGGTCATGAATATTTCTTCTCTTATGATTTGCCTGCTCAGAAGGCTTGGCCAACTTTTGCTGCTACATCTCTCTTTGCCTTGCCATCGGGACCACTTGTTTCTTCTTCATTTTGCCTAAGAAGTTCTGGACCACCCTTCTGTCAGGCACTTGGGAAAGTGAGGGTGGCCACAGGGAAGCCTACCTCACCTGCTGCTCTGCTGGTCCTTGTCCCTCCAGCCACCCGCCTCCATGTCCCCTCCTTCTGCCAACTTTATCACTAAAGACAGACTGCCTGGGGCACCCTGCTTATGACAACAGAAGAATAAGGAAAGGTAAAGAAAAGAGGGGAAAATAATGTGAGATGAAGCAAGATATGAACTTGGGTTGAAAGGGAAAGATGAAATGAGGCCCTTGTTTAATAAAATGGGACTCACAGGATTGTGAAAAGCAGAGTGATTACAGCTAAGGTGCTGAGACAGAGTGGCTCAAAGTGGAGTGATGGTGTGGAAAGGAAATATGATGGAGAGAAGATGGAAAGAAAAATAAAAGAGAAAAATGAAGAAAAAGATGGGATGGTTGTTATATAGGAGTGATGATGTGTATCCAAAGGAAGAAACAGTAAATAGAATAAAAAATTGTAGAACCAAAGGAAGGAAAAGCCACAGACTCTTGTTGTATGATTCAAGTAGCATTTAAAGGAATAGCTTAGAAGTAGGTGGCATTAATGCCTTTACATTTATGAAAATAGGTAATATGATATGGGGAAAAAGAACAAAGGGCTGATTTAGAATGTAAATCTATAAAAATGAGCAAGGCCAACTTTGGAAATATAAAACAGTTGCCTTCAGCTTTAGTATCTGTAAAGAGAGTGTGAATGTGTGATTTATAGTAGCCTAGATTATCCCAGGGCTCTAGGTACTGACATCAAACCTGAGGCATGTGTTTTCATAAGGAGAAGTGGGTACACTATGATCACTGTGTGTAACAGGGAGATCACCATTTGTTATAGCTGACCCAGTTCTTGGAGCCATCCCCTTACAGTCCCACACAGCTACTGTGTTTAACAGATAGTAAAAATGTGCAAGAAAGTCTAAGTCAGTGATAATGCAAAACCTAGAGGCATTAAGACCCAGAATTTGCTAAGTGATGTTTGGATTTTATAGCTCTGTATTTATAGCTGTGAAGCATCTTTTATTACTGAGATTCCTGTAAGAAAAATCATGCTAAGCCAGTACCTAACCTCCTTTTCCTCAATGAAACAGTTATTTTCATGAGGTGATATATTTTTTCATAAAAGTGGTTTCTTCTGTCGACGGAGTCAGTGAGAACTACCCCTCTCATCCACTCTTGGGGCAGACCTGCCTCCTCCAAAGCCATGCCTGAGGTTCGTAGCCTGAGGTTTCCATAGTGATAGTAAAAAGCCTTAGCTCTGCCTTGTTCCAGTCATTGAGCATCCGCCTGGTAGAAGTGGGGGGCAGAGATGGTGTGCAGGAGACATGGCCATTCTTTTCAAGTTTCAGACCAGGCACTTTCATCATTTCCTATCAAATCTAGCTGGGGAGGCCTAGGCCTGTGAATAGACCTAGTTGCTAGGCAGCTGGGAAATGTAGTTCTTGGTAGGGCAGCCATTTTCCAGTAATACCATTCTT